CAATCATCATAAAATAATATCTTTTCAACACATGGCACAACATACAACTTTATAGCAACATACAACTCTTCTCTAACAACTTAACAACATAGTCTACTAATAACATCTATATAAATCACACACATCTACACACTTCACATCATGCTTCTCACAACTCACAATATTATCATCATGCACTTCACAACTTCCAACTATATCATCTCATCATATTTCACAACATAAACATGTCCACACATAACATATAGCAACTTTATCAACTTAATTTCAACATGCTTCAACAATATCATAGATCCACACACAACTTGTAAACAACTTCACTATACTCAACATGCATCTCTTCATTTCACTTTCTACTCATCATACATCTCAATGTAATTATACAACTACATATGAGTTTCTAAACTCACATACAACCAAACAACATACAATCTAGCTTCCCTTACCTGAAGATTGGCTTAGAATAGCCAAGAATTGAGAAGAAGTGGAATTTCCTTTCCGAAGCTCAACCCGGGATTTCAATCCACCCAAAGCAAGCTTCCTAGTCCAGAGTCTTTCTCTCTAAAACATCTCTCTAAAAACCTCTCCTTCTCCTCAACTGCACAACCTCTATTTATAGAAGTCTGAAGTGGCCAGAACGGCCCGTTTCAAATCCGGAACGACCCGTTCTGGGCTCCTTCATCATGTGTAAAATTCACATGCAGAACGACCCGTTCTGAAATCGAAACGACCCGTTCTGGCAGGTCTAGAATGACCCGTTCTAAAATCGGAACGGTCCATTCTGGAGTTGAATTTAACTCACAATGACCATTTTGGAATGGCCCGTTCCAGTCTACTAACTACGTTACAACATGACATGAATATGTTAATAGAGTTGATGTTGTTTGTGGGTCAACAAACAGTGTAAAATCTTTTCAATTTTTAAGGAGACTCACCGTAGATCTAAATAACGAAAAGGTATTAAGTACAATCTTGAAAGAATACAACGGAAGTGAGTGTAATTTATCCTATAATATACACATACATGCATACATGGCATGCATGTAAGAATAGATGAGCTTGGATTTACTTATTTCAAAAGTAACTTTTGTTAAATTTATTTCACTCAATAATTCATAATTTATATTGAATTTCAACGATTCAGCCGTTAAATTAAATATTCTTAATGAATAAACTAGGTTTATAAATTTTTATAAAATTTAAAAATCATTTGGTATTTCATTAAATTAATTCAATTTAATGTATATTCATAAAAATATATAATATATTTATTTTAATATATAAAATAAGTATTATATAATTTTCAAATTTTACAAAAATATATAGACTTGATCTGTTTATTAAAATTTAAATTTTTAGACTTGATTTGTTGAATAAGAACTTGTAATTTAAAAGGTTGGATCATTGAATTTTTAATTCAGACAGTAAATTATTAATTGAAATAGTTCTAAGAGTTACTTTTAAAGAAAATGAACAATTTAAATTGAGATATAAATTATATTTAAAAAGATAATTTGTAAATGAAAACTTGAGGATCTTATCGTCCATAATAAATCTCAATACCTAAAAATATTAATCATGCCACCGGATATGTTTAAAAAAAATGGATTAAACACATATTTTAGACTAAACTTTAATCCATGTCTAGAATAAGACACTGTAGAGAAGGTGGAAAAACATAGAAAACTACTTATGATTAATATTTTCTTTTTGCCCAAAAGGTCTTTTTTCTTCCCACCCTTTTTCTTTATTCCTCATGCATTATGCATATGATAATATTATTTTCTCATCACTTTCACTCAAGAGATACGTTCATGTGGTTACTACTAGTCAACAAAGACCACTATTCACTAAGTAGGCTAAGTAGAATCGAAGCAGTTCAAGTGATGGATGCAAGAGTTAATCACCTTACAGGCAAACCCCTTAATTTGTTAACACAAAAATGTTAACAAATTAAGGTAGCTTCCGTTTGATTGCTTGCAACTCCACTATCACATCTTTTATGTCCATTCGCTGATTGGGCAATTCTGCGGCACATGCAACTCCAATCCTAGCAAAGGACACCAAACACTCCCCAATGGTTCTTTCCATGACCCTTGTTCCCTCTTCAGCACTGGACACAAGCAAACGTGAATCTACTATCTCTATAATTCTATCTGGAATTGCATTCTCACAGAATTTGTGTAGGCTTAGACCCTCACCAAACATGTTATCCGTTGGTTTCTTTCCGGTCAGCATCTCCAACACAAGAATTCCGTAGCTGTAGATATCTCCTTTTGCTGATACATGCACACCCGCTCCATACTCTGTTCCAACAAACAACAATTTTGACAAAAATGAAGGATAATTCCAATAACCACATACTGATTATATGCAAATTGTTTTAGAGTTTAATCAAATCATACTAATATATGTAACTTTTGTATATTGTCATTCAATCAAAAATTGTCAATGCATAATAAGATTGATGAATTCTATAAAAGTTACTTTCAAAATCATATTTGGTGAGTTTTTTTAGTTAGTTGACTCTAAAAAATGTCGTTAGACTCACTATAATTTTATTAGAATAAATTTGAATGGGACAGTTATTAAGATCAAGGTTCAAAGTATTGAATCTAAAGACTTTTGCTTTTTTACAATTTGACATTAGTCAATAATAAACTATGACAACAATGATCCTATCTAATCTAAATAGCAATAATTTATCTCTAATAAAACTCGATGTCAACTAGATTATGCCGTTGTTGCCACAAGGTAATTCAATAGCATAGGTAAAATAGTTAAAGGAAAGATAGTACTTCACCTGGGGGAACATATCCAATGGTTCCTCTAATTGCATACGAACTAGTCTGATCTCTGCTGGAATGTCCCGTGACTACATTAAGAAGCCTTGCTAACCCAAAATCTCCCAAGTGGGCAACAATGTCATCATCAAGAAGAACATTGCTTGGCTTAATATCACAGTGAACAACAGCTTGCTCAGAACCACGATGAAGATAATCCAATGCATTAGCAACATCAAGAGCAATATTTATCCTCTGTTGAAGGTTGAGATTGAAGTTTCTAGACTCAAGCTCTTCGTCGCTGTGCAGCAAACTTTCTAGGCTCCCCTCAGGCATGAATTCTAAAACTATAGCCTTGAAATCATCCCCATTATGATCAATACCTGTACAATAAGTCAGGATGTTGACAACATTTTGATGTCTGATCTTTCCCAGAGCCTTGCATTCAGCTGTGAAACTCTTTGATGCTCCACAAGTTTCAAGATTCAACACCTTTACCGCAACAGGTCTTTCAAAATGGAGAAGATATCCTTTGTATACAGAACCAAAGCTTCCAGCGCCTACTAAATTGGATGAACAAAATCCATTGGTTGCTTCATGCAGCTCTCCATAAGAAACCTTTATGTACATATTTTGCCGAGACTGTGATGAAGATAATGTTTGGGGCTTTTTCCTGAACAAACAGATGCTGATAAATATTATGAAAATGACCAAACCCCCTCCAACTCCAATTACAATGATGAGGATAAGTTTCTTTCTAAGAGACCACTTGTGTTTTATTGAGAGCAACCTAGAACATGTTGGGAGCTTCAGTTGTGGTATCCCTCCACAGAGATCCTTATTTCCAACGAGTGAGAAATTTTTGACATTACTAAAGACACCTCCTATAGGAACCTCACCGTAAAGATGGTTAAAAGACAGGTTCAATGTATTCAAATAAGTCAGATTTTGTAGTTCCCCAGGGATTGTGCTTGAGAAGTTGTTGTTAGAAAGGTCTAGGATTTCGAGGGATATTAAAGAGCCCAAGAATGAGGATATGCTTCCACTGAAGAAGTTTTTCTCCAGCACGAGCTCTGTTAATGCAGAACATGCACTAAGTTGTGGGGGAATTTCACCTGATAACTTGTTTTCGAATAGATATAATATGGATAGGTGCTTCAAGTTTCCAAACTCCAAAGGAATGGAGCCAGTGAAAGAGTTGTTGGATAAGTCAAGATTTATCAAACCTTCTTGATTGCCAAATGTTCGATTAGGGATATCACCACTCAAGTTGTTGTCAGAAACACCAAATGACTGCATGCGGGTGCAGTATTTGAGGCTTAATGGAATCCTTCCTTCAAGTTCATTGGTGTGCAGATAAAGTTCAGACAACATAGTAAGATTGCCAATGGCTATAGGAATATTACCAGAGAATTTGTTTCCTTGCAGGGCAAGTCTTACTAGATTTTTAAGCTTCCCAATTGAATCTGGAATAGTTCCTTCTAGGTAATTATCTATCATAATGAAGTTAGTTAAACTGATTAGCTGTCCAATTCCTTCAGGTATCATTCCAGATATTTGATTTATCCCCATACTAAGCCAAGTGAGATGGATAGAAAAATTGCCAATAAGATCTGGCAACACGCCACCAAATTCATTGCTCTCCAAAATAAGTATGTGCAATTCAGTGCAATTGGTTAATGAGGAAAGGAAGTCCAAATCCTGAGCTCTCCCACCTCCAAAACTATTATATGCAATGTTAAACCTCTTGAGTTTATTTAAGCTTCCCAAAGTGGGTGGAATTGGCCCATTAAAACCATTTGAGGATATATCAAACACTTGTAATCCGCTGATGTTGGATATTGAATATGGGAAAGTTCCATTGAAGTTGTTCCATCCAACCAAGAATACTCGAAGATTTGGAAAAGCAAGTTGCATATTTGATGGAAGAGTACCACCTAACTGGTTTTTCCCTAAAACAAAAATTTGAATATTCGAAAGGTTGTAGAGAGAATCAGGGACTACTCCTGACAAACTATTTAAACCAAGATTCAACTCTTTCAAATTTGATAACCGACCCAAAACATGAGGTATACTTCCTTCTAAATGATTTCTTGCAAGTGTGATATTTTGGAGGGATGAAAGATTCCCCAAGGTAGGTGGAATAGTTCCAACTAGATCATTAGCACCAAGAAGCAACTTAGTAAGCCGTGCCATAGATCCAATTCCAAACCATGATGGAACTTTTCCAGTGAGTTTATTGTACAACAAGTTAATTACCTCAAGATTAGAGCAGTTATTAAGATTAATGGGAATCTCACCATGGAGATTGTTGTGGCTCAAGTCAAGAACCTGCAATCTCTTTAGTCGACCAACTTGAGTGGGAATTTCACCATGCAAGTCGATGTTGGAAAGAATAAGCATTCTGAGGAAGGTTAGATTTGACAAGGATGGTCCAAGAGTACCACCCCAGTTTTGATTTTCCAAGTGCAAGACAGAAACTCTCACGTGGCGTTGACAGCATGTAACACCCTGCCACTCACAGAAATGCAAAGACTGGTTCCATGATGGAAGAGCATCAGGCATGCCATTGGTAAGCTTTTGCTTCAAAGCAAGTAAAGCCAGCTTATCACTCTCTGAATTCATCAAAGCAAGACCAAGTGTACATGGGATCATGTACACCATGGTTTGTGAAACAACAATGAGAAGAAACATGATTAGAGTTAGAGTTAGGGCCATTATTTTGCATAAAGTAGGATATGGGGTGGAATGATGAAATGACCTTCTTTTAAATCAGTATCCTCAAAATCATCTTTTCTGACCTTATCAGTTATCATCTCCTTGATGCACTTTCTCTTTTTTTATAAGAAAGCTATTTGATATTATTCCTTTTTGGTCTTCCAATAGAAGGGCGCGGTTTCTCACGTTACTTTTTTATTTCCCCATACACACCAGATCGGTTGTTACGTATTTCTTTCGTCAGAAAGTTTTTGTATGATCTTCTCAAAAGCTTAAGAAATGAAAGGAAATGAAAAAGAAAAAATAAAAAAGGGACCCGTTACATAACTTGCAAGTGTGTTGACGGAAATTTTCTCCTACGGTCAATGTCTGTCTATTTTTATTAAAGACAACGATTTTGCCATTTATTTTTGAAATGGAAAATATCAAATTATTTACCAAGTAAATTAAATAGAATTATGGTTCTTCAAATGTAATGTATAATTGTATAAATAATTAAAAGACGTATGAAGAAATGCTTTTATTTAACTCGTGCAAAATATCGATTTATAAGCTTCAAACAGCTATGCATATTCAATTTGTTACTCATAATTGTGCTTGTATCTGTTTTTAACTTTGAATACCAGAATGAAGGTGTGTTAGGGAGAGTTTTACTGTCTGATTTTACTTGGTTTGAACATACCTGTGGTATAACGACAAAAGAAGAAATAAAAGGTGTGACTTATTGGATGAAGTCTTTCGAGTTTCAATTCATTGAACAATATATGTATATTATATAGATAGTGACATCAAGTGTGGGAACAATTTGTCTTCAAAATTTTGAGCAAGTTCCCACCCAAACTTTGATTTCTCACACGCAAAATAGAGCACGATGGCAGAGTCAGAAACTACATCGATGGAGAGAATGGTGGAATACCCCTGTGAGTTTTAATTAGTGGAATGGACCACGGGTTGGGATGAATCACACAATTTCCATCAGTCATTATAATTATAAATATCAGTAATAATGTTTACACTCAAAATTAAGTTCGAGGTTAAATAATTTGGGTGCACAGTAACTAAACACTTTTCATACAGAAGAACGAGACATCAAATTATTTTTAATAAAAGATAATACAATTAATTCTGACCAAGTCTTTCGCATCATCTTATTCAATTTTGTGGACATATGTAATTGAATTGACAACGAAATAGAATTTAATTTCTAGTAAGACTTGGTACACCCTCGAGTTGTAAAACAATTGGCTGCAAGTGGTTTAAAAAACAAGTGAACCTATAATGAACCTATAAAGTGTAACCATCGACAAATTTTAAAAGCATGACTTGTTATTAAAAGTTTTATACAATGAGAACACATAAAACTATTTGATACTTTTTCTCCGGTTAATGAAACATTACATCAATCTTTGTTTGAAATTCATTTCCATGGATCAGTGTCATACATCTGCCTTCCTGCAAGGGGCAATTTGATTCTTGACTGCGTTGGACTTTCTAGTTTGCGTAGTGCAGTTCATTCAATTACTCAACGTAATATGTTCGTCATAACATCATATATAATTAAATTATAAAATTAAAATACATTTTAAAATAAACAATACAAATATTATATCATGATATGTAAAATTTTATTTATTAAATTAAAAGTCTTTTTATTAATTTAAATCTGTCAAAAAAGTATAAATTTTGAAAAAACAAGACCAATGAATTTGAGGGGAGGAGATGGGCGAAGGGTGGATTGGCAAAGAATGGTAAAAAAAAACATCCGTGGTTAATAGAGGTGAAAGAGGTGAAAAGAGTGGATTTAAGAAAATTTATGGGAGCTTCACATGCATTATACTTCACTTCAAAAATGGGGGATTTTAGTGAATTTTGGTGTAAAAGACTTTAATACCCTCCTCAAAAATAAATCATAATTGATTATGGTAAGTTATATTTCATTATGAACAACTATTTTGTATATCATATTTAAAGATGTTGTGTATGATATTTGAATATGGTCACCTATTCAAATACTATTTGAATATTTTCACCATATTACAATATGCTATAGTTGTATTGTATTATGTGTATAAAAAATAGACCAAAAAGGTTTTCCATATTCTAATAAACTACTACTCTAATGCATTATGCATATAAAAAAAAGTATCAACAAACATTAATGTATGAAAGGATAAAATGGTTATTATTATTATTATTATTATTATTATTATTATTATTATTATTATTATTATTATTATTATTATTATTATTATTATTATTATTATTATTAT